CTTCTTACCTTTGTCTTCCTCTTCCTACCTCCTCTTCCTTCGCCTCTTCTTACCTCCTCTTCCTCGTCCCACCACCTCATCTTCCCCTTCTTACCTCATCTTAATATCTCCGCCTCCTCTCCTCATCCTCTTCTTTTCTCTTCCTCTCCTCGTGATCCTCTTAGGAGATGAGAGAGAGAGAGAGAGTATCAGGGTGTGTACTGGGAGGCGTGGTGATGGTGGTGTACCGGAGGCGTGGTGATGGTGTCCGGAGGCATGGGGTGATGGTGATCAGGAGGCGTGGTGATGGTGGTGTACCGGGAGGCGTGGTGATGGTGTACCAGGAGGCATGGGGGTGATGGTGACCGGGATGCATGGTGGTGATGGTGTACAGGAGGCGTGGTGGTGATGGTGTACCGGGAGGCGTGGTGATGGTGTCCCGGAGGCGTGGTGATGGTGTACCAAGGAGGCGTGGTGATGGTGGTGTATACCGGGAGGCATGGTGGTGATGGTGTACCTGGGAGGCGTGGTGGTGATGATGCACCGGGAGGCGTGGTGGTGATGGTGTACCAGGAGGCGTGGTACTAGCAAATCTACCAGCACGCCTCCAAAGACTGGGAAGTCATTTGGTTTGAGGGAGGGAGGGAGGAGGATCATCAACCTCACTCCTTCCTCCCATTCGTTCTCCTCTCACCGCTCCTTCCCAACCCTCCCTCCCACTTCCCCATCATCTTTTCTCCTATTCTCTCCTTTTCCATCTTTTCCCTCAACATTCTCCACCCTCCCATACCATTTATATCTGTCCTTATTCACCCTACCCATTCAACCCTATTCCACATCTTCCCTCCATCACTTATGCTTCCCTATAATCCTCCCTCTCACTCCTTCCCTTTCCCTTCTTCCCTCTCTCCCCTTCTTCCCTATTACCCCTACCCTCTCCCCTCCCTCTCCCCCTCTCCCTTTTCCTTTTCCCTTCCCTCTCTCCCCCTCTTCCTATACCCCCCCTCTCCCCGTCCCCTCCCCCTCTCCCCTCGCGGCAGGTGGTGTTGAGATAAAGGCTGAAACCCCAGAGTGTTCTCCCGTGCGTCGTGGACAATGGTGACTGGAGCCAATTAAGAGATGGATTGGTCTTGTTACCTGAACGTGCAGCAACAACACCTCGAGACCAGCTCAATAAACCACGTTTTTGATGGTGTTGTTTTAGTTATGGGGGGGTGGGTGAGGTGGGTGGTATGGGTTAGGTGGGGATGGGTGAAGGTGGGGATGGTTGAGGTGGGGGATGGGTGAGTTGGGGATGGTTGAGTGGGGATGGGTGGTGGGGATGATGAGGTGGGAGAGGTGCTTAAAGGTTAGGTTGGGTTTGGCTTTGGTTAGGGGTTTAGGTGTGCGTGTGTGTTTGTATGTGCGTGCGTGGTGTGTCTAAGAACTCCAGACTGTACTCAAGCTCCCAGATTGTACTCAGGCTCCCTTGGAGTACAGAGGAGAGGGTACCTTAGAGTACCTGAATATCTCGTCCCTGATCTGCATACAGAGATGATGACGTGGGGGTGTCAGAGAAGTGGGTATCAGAGGGGGTGTCAAGTGGTGTCAGAAATGGGGGTGTCAGAGAATGGGGGTGTCAGAAGTGAGGGTGTCAGAAGTGTGTCAGAAATAGAATCAGAGTGGGGGTGTCAAGTAGGGGTGTCAGAAGTGGGGTGTCAGAGTGGGGGTGTCAGGAGTGGGGTGTCAGAAGTAGGGGTGTCAGAGTGGGGGTGTCAGAAGTGGGGTGTCCAAGTGGGGTGTCAAGTGGGGTGTCAGAAGGGGTGTCAGAAATGGGGTGTCAGAAGTGGGTGTCAGAAGTATGGGTGTCAGAAGTTGGGTGTCAGAAGTATGGGTGTCAAGTATGGGTGTCGAAGTGGGGTGTCAGAAGTAGGGTGTCAGAAGTGAGGGTGTCAAGTAGGGGTGTCAGAGGTGGTGTCAAGAAGATAGGTGTCAAGTATGGGTGATCCGAAGTGGGGTGTCAGAAGTGGGGTGTCAGAAGTGGGTGTCAGAAGCATAGGTGTCAGAAAGTGGGGTGTCAGAAGTGGGGTGTCAAGAAGTGGGGTGTCAAGTAGGGTGTCAGGAAGTGGGGTGTCAGAAGTGGGGTGTCAAGTAGGGGTGTCAGAAGTGGGGTGTCAGAAGTATGGGTGTCAGTGGGGGTGTCAGAAGTAGGGGTGTCAGAAGTAGGGTGTCAGAAGTGGGGTGTCAGAAGTGGGGTGTCAGAAGTGGGGTGTCAAGTATGGGTGTCAGGAAGTGGGGTGTCAGAGGTGGGGTGTCAGAAGTGGGTGTCAGAAGTGGGGTGTCAGAAGTGGGGGTGTCAAGTGGGGTGTCAAGTAGAGGTGTCAAGTGGGGTGTCAGAAGTAAGAGGGTGTCAGAAAGTAGGGGTGTCAGAGTGGGGTGTCAGAAGTGGGAGTTCAGCAGTGGGGTGTCAGGGTGGGGAGTGTCAGAAGTGGGGTGTCAAGTAGGGGTGTCAGAAGTAGGGGTGTCAGAAGTGGGGTGTCAGAAGTGGGGTGTCAAGTGGGGTGTCAGGTGGAATAGTCCCAAGTATGGGTGTCAGAAGTGGGTGTCAGAAGTGGGGGTGTCAGAAGTGGGGTGTCAAGTGGGGTGTCAGAAGTGGGGTGTCAAGTGGGGTGTCAGAAATTAGGGGTGTATCCAGAAGTGGGGGTGTCAGAAGTGGGGTGTCAGAAGTGGGAGTGTCAGAGTGGGGTGTCAAGTAGGTGTCAGAAGTGGGGTGTCAAGAGGTAGAATGTCAGAAGTAGGGGTGTCAGAAAGTAGGGGTGTCAGAAGTAGGGAATTGTCAGAAGTGGGGTGTCAGAAGTGGGGGTGTCAGAAGTGGGGTAATCCAGAAGTGGGGTGTCAGAAGTGGGGTGTCAAGTTAGATTGTCCAGAAATGGGGTGTCAAGTATGGGTGTCAGAGGTGGGGAACAAGTGGGGTGTCAGAAGTGGGTGTCAGAAGTAGGGTGTCAAGTAGGGGTGTCAGAAAGTAAGGTGTCCAAAGTGGGGTGTCAGAAAGTGGGGTGTCAGAAGTAGGAGTGTCAAGTAGGGTGTCAAGTAAGGAGTGTCAAGTAAAGGGTGTCAAGTAAGGAGTGTCAAAAGTGGAGTGTCAGAGGTAGGGTGTCAAGTGGGGTGTCAAGTGAGGTGTCAGAAGCCAGGGTGTCAAGTAGAGGTGTCAAGTGGGGTGTCAAAGTAGGGTGTCAAAGTAGGGTGTCAGAGAGTGGGGTGTCAAGTGGGGTGTCAGAGTGGGGTGTCAAGTAGGGGTGCGTGGGGTGTCAGAAATTGGGGTGTCAAGTAGATTAATCCAGAAGTAGGGTGTCAAGTAGGGGTGTCAGAAGTGGGGTGTCCAAGTGAGGTGTCAAGTATGGGTGTCAGAAGTAGGGGTGTCAAAGTGGAGTGTCAGAAGTGGGGGTGTCAAGTGGGGTGCAGAGGTAGGGGTGTCAAGTGAGGGACTGTCAGAAATGGGGTGTCAGGAGTGGGATTAATCAAGAAGTGGGGTGTCCAGAAGTGGGGTGCCAGAGGTGGGGTGTCCAGAGGTACGATCAGACACTGTTAATGATCAAAATGGCACTAGAAAACGCCATCGACAGGAGTGTGTGATGCTGTGCCTGGAAGAGAGGTGTGCGTGCGGCTGGAGGGAAGAGGGTGTGGCGGCGTGCGGCACTGGAGAATGTGGCGGCGTGCGGCACTGGAAGAAGAGTGGCGGCGTGCGGCACTGGAGGGAAAGTGTGGCGGCGTGCGGCACTGGAGAGAGTGTGGCGGCGTCGGCACTGGAAGAAGTGGCGTCCGGCACTGGAGGAGATGTGGCGGCATGCGGCACTGGAAGAGAGAGTGGCGGCGTGCAGCACTGGAGAGAAGTGTGGCGGCGTGCGGCACTGGAGGAGAATGTGGCGGCGTGCGCTGGAAGAGTGGCGGCGTGCGGCACTGGAGAGAAGTGTGGCGGCACGGCACTGGAGAAAGAATGGCGGCGTGCAGCACTGGAGGAGAAAGTGGCGGCGTGCGGCACTGGAGGAGAGTGGCGGCGTGCGGCACTGGAGAGAGTGGCGGCGTTGCGCACTGGAAGAGAGAGTGGCGGCGTGCGGCACTGGAGAGATGTGGCGTGCGGCACTGGAGAGAAGTGTGGCGGCGTCGCGGCACTGGAGGAGAAGTGTGGCGCGTGCGGCACTGGAGATGTGGCGGCGGCGGCACTGGAGGAGAGGTGTGGCGGCGTGCGGTACTGGAGGAAAGTGTGGCGGCGTGCGGCACTGGAGAGGGGGAGTGGCGGCGGCGTGCGGCACTGGAGGAGATGTGGCGGCGTCCGGCACTGGAGGAGAAGTGGCAGCGTCGCGGCACTGGGAGAGGAGAATTGGCGGCGTGCGTACTGGAGAGGAAAGAGTGGCGGCGTCGGCACTGGAGGAAGTGTGGCGGCGTGCGGCACTGGAGAGTGTGGCGGCGTGCGGCACTGGAGGAAGAGTGTGGCGGCGTGCGGCACTGGAGGAGAAGTGGCGGCGTGGCACTGGAGAGAGTGTGCGGCGTCGCGCACTGGAGAGAGTGTGGCGGGTACGCTGCCGGAGGAAGAGTGGCGGCGTGCGGCACTGGAGGAGAGTGGCGGCGTGCGGCACTGGAGAGTGGCGCGTCGGACTGGAGAGAATGTGGCGGGTTGCACTGGAGGAGAGAGTGGCGGCGTGCGTGACATGGAGAAAAGCGCGTCGCGGCTGGAGAGAGTGTGGCGGCGTGGCGGCACTGGAGAAGAGTGGCGGCGGCGACACTGCTGGAGGAAGTGGCGTGCGGCACTGGAGGAGAAAGTGGCGGCGTGCGGCACTGGAGGAAGAATGGCGGCGTGCGGCACTGGAGGAAGAGTGGCGGCGTGCGCACTGGAGAGAGATGTGGCGTGCGGCACTGGAGGAGAGGGGCGGCGGCACTGGAGGAGAAGAGTGGCGGCATGCGGCACTGGAGGAGAGTGGCGGCGTGCGGCACTGGAGAGAGAGTGGCGGCGCGCGGCTTGCACTGGAGGAAGAGATGTGGCGGCGTCAGGCACTGGAGGAGAGAGTGTGGCGGCGTGCATTGAAACGCGGCACTGAAAGAGAGTGGCGGTGCGGCACTGGAGGAGAGTGTGGCGGCGTGTGGCACTGAGGAGAGAGTGGGCGGCGTGCGGCACTGAGAGGAGAGTGTGGCGTGCGGTACTGGAGGAGAGTGTGGCGGTGCGGCACTGGAGGAGAGAGTGGCGGCGGCGTACTGGAGAGAGTGCGGATGCGTACTGGAGGAGAGTGGCGGGCGTATGCACTGGAGGAGAGAGTGGCGGCATGCGTACTGGAGAAGGAGAGTGGCGGCGTGCGGCACTGGAGGAGAGAGGGCGCGTGGGCACTGGAGGAGGGCGGCAAGCGGTACTGGAGGAGTGGCGGCGGCATGGAGAGGTGTGGCGGGCGCAGGCACTGAGGAGAGAGTGGCGGCGTGGGCGGCACTGGAGGAGAGTGGGGCGGCAGGCACTGGAGGAGAGGTGGCGGTGTGCGGCACTGGAGGAGAGTGTGGCGGCGTGGCGTACTGGAGGAGAGTGTGGCGGCGTGCGGCACTGAGGAGAGTGTGGCGGTGCGGCACTGGAGGAGAGTGGCGGCGGCGCACTGGGAGGAGAGTGTGGCGGGCGCGGGCGGCACTGGAGGAGAGTGTGGCGGCGTGCGCACTGGAGGAGAGAGTGTGGCGCGCGGCACTGGAGGAGAGAGGCGGCGTGCGGCACTGGAGGAGAGTGTGGCGGGCGGCGTGCAGGCTGGAGGAGAGGTGGCGTGCGGCACTGAGGAGAGGTGGCGGCGCGGCACTGGAGGAGAGTGTGGCGGAAAAAGTGGCACTGGAGAGGAGAGGGCGGTGCGTACTGGAGGAGAGGGCGGGCGGCGTACTGGAGGAGAGTGTGGCGGCGCAGGCACTGGAGAGAGGGCGGCGCAAGGCACTGGAGGAGAGTGTGGCGCGTGCGGCACTGGAGGAGAAGAGTGGCGGCATGCGGCACTGGAGGAGAGTGTGGCGGCGTGCGGCACTGGAGGAGAGTGTGGCGGCGTGCGGCACTGAGGAGAGTGGCGGCGTGCGGCACTGGAGGAGAGGTGGCGGCGTGGCGTACTGGAGGAGGTGGCGGCGTGCGGCACTGGAGAGAGTGTGGCGGCGTGCGGCACTGGAGAGGAGAGGCGGCGGTACTGGAGGAGAGGGCGGCGTGCGGGCACTGGAGGAGAGTGTGGCGGCGCAGGCACTGGAGGAGAGTGGCAGTGTGGCACTGGAGGAGAGGTGGCGGCGTGCATTGGAGGAGAGAGTGGCGGCGTGGGACCACTGGAGAGGAGAGTGGTGGCGTGCACTGGAGGAGAGTGTGGCGGCAACGGTACTGGAGGAGAGTGTGGCGGGGCGGCACTGAGGAGAGAGGCGGTGTGTGGCATTGAGGAGAGTGTGGCGGCGTGCGTACTGAGGAGAGAGGTGGCGGGCATACTGGAGAGGAGAGTGGCGGCGTGCACTGGAGGAGTGTGGCGGGCATGAGAGGGGGCGTGCGGGCACTGGAGGAGAGGTGGCGGCGTGCGGCACTGGAGAGGTGGGGGGCATGGAGGAGAGTGTGGCGGCGTGCAGCACTGGAGGAGAGTGTGGCGGCGTGCGGCACTGGAGGAGAGTGTGGCGGCGTGCGGCATTGAGGAGAGAGTGGCGCGTGCGGCACTGGAGGAGAGTGTGGCGGCGTGCGGCACTGGAGGAAGAGAGTGGCGGCGTCTGACACTGGAGAGTGTGGCGGCGTGCGGCACTGGAGGAAAGTGTGGCGGCGTGCGGCACTGGGTGGCGGCGTGCGGCACTGGAGGAAGTGGCGGCTGCGGCTGGAAGGGAAGAGTAGCGCGGCATGCGGCACTGGGAGAGTGGCGGCGTGCGGCACTGGAGGAGAGTGTGGCGGCGTGCGGCACTGGAGGAGAGTGGCGTGGGCACGGAGAGAGAATGTGGCGGCGTGCGCACTGGAGGAGAATGTGGCGGCGTGCGGCACTGGAGGAAGAATGTGGCGTGCGGCACTGGAGGAGAGAGGTGTGGCGGCGTGCGGCACTGGAGGAGTGGCGGCTGGCACGAGAGATGTGGCGGCGTGCGGCACTGGAGGAGAGAGTGGCGGCGTGCGCACTGGAGGAATGTGGCGGCGTGCGGCACTGGAGAAGTGGCGGCGTGCGGCACTGGAGAGGAGAGTGTGGCGGCGTGCGGCACTGGAGGAGAGATGTGGCGGCGTGCGGCACTGGAGAATGTGGCGGCGTGCGGCACTGGAGATGTGGCGGCGTGCGGCACTGGAGGGAAGGTGTGGCGGCGTGCGGCACTGGAGGAGAGGTGGCGGCGTGCGGCACTGGAGGAAGTGTGGCGGCGTGCGGCACTGGAGGAGAGTGTGGCGGCGTGCGGCACTGGAGGAGAAGGTGGCGGCGTGCGGGCGGCGTGCGGCACTGGAGGAAGAGTGGCGGCGTGCGGCACTGGAGAGTGGCGGCGTGCGGCACTGGAGGAGGTGTGGCGGCACTGAAAATGGCGGCGTGCGGCACTGGAGGAGAGTGGCGGCGTGCAGCACTGGAGGAAGACCCCAACGGTGCGGCACTGGAGGAAAAGTGGCGGCGTGCGGCACTGGAGGAGAAGGCGGCGTGCGGCACTGGGAGGAGATGTGGCGGCGTGCGGCACTGGAGAAGTGGCGGCATGCGGCACTGGAGAGAGTGTGGCGGCGTGCGGCACTGGAGGAAAGTGGCGGCGTGCGGCACTGGAGGAGAGTGTGGCGGCGTGCGGCACTGGAGGAGAAGTGTGGCGGCGTGCGGCACTGGAAGAAGAGTGGCGGCGTGCGGCACTGGAGGAAGTGTGGCGGCGTGTGGCACTGGAGGAAGTGGCGGCGTGCGGCACTGGAAGATGTGGCGGCGTGCGGCACTGGAGGAGAATGTGGCGGCGTGCGGCACTGGAGGAAAGAGTGGCGGCGTGCGGCACTGGAGGAGAGTGTGGCGGCATGGCACTGGAGGAAGAGTGGCGGCGTGCGGCACTGGGAAGAAGTGGCGGCATGCGGCACTGGAGAAGAAGTGTGGCGGCGTGCGGCGCACTGGAGAGTGGCGGCGTGCGGCACTGGAGGAGGTGTGGCGGCGTGCGGCACTGGAGGAAGATGGCGGCATGCGGCACTGGAGGAAGTGTGGCGGCGTGCGGCACTGGAGGAGAGTGGCGGCGTGCGGCACTGGAGGAGAGTGTGGCGGCGTGCGGCACTGGAGGAAGTGTGGCGGCGTGCGGCACTGGAGAGAATGTGGCGGCGTGCGGCACTGGAGGAGAGTGTGGCGGCGTGCGCACTGGAGGAGAGTGGCGGCGTGCGGCACTGGAGGAGAAGTGTGGCGGCGTGCGGCACTGGGGAGTGTGGCGGCGTGCGGCACTGGAGAGATGTGGCGGCGTGCGGCACTGGAGGAAAGTGGCGGCGTGCGGCACTGGAAGAGTGTGGCGGCGTGCGGCACTGGAGGTGTGGCGGCGTCGGCACTGGGAGAGGTGTGGCGGCGTGCGGCACTGGAGAGGTGTGGCGGCGTGCGGCACTGGAGGGTGTGGCGGCGTGCGGCACTGGAGAGTGTGGCGGCGTGGCACTGGAGGAGTGTGGCGGCGTGCGGCACTGGAGGAGAGTGGCGGCGTGCGGCACTGGAGGTGTGGCGGCGTGCGGCACTGGAGGTGTGGCGGCGTGCGGCACTGGAGGAGAATGGGCTAGTGCCAGGCGAGGAACACAGGTGACGCAAGGTGAGTCACTCAAGGTCAGCTCACCACCTCCCATTATGGCCACCCTTCAAGGTCAACCTCCAGGAATTAGTTAATTTGTTTTGTGCTTTTGTTTGTTGTTGTTTGTAAGAACTGTTGTTGTTGTTGTTGTCATGTAGTATGGAGAAAGGTCTCGTCAGGGTCTCGTCAGGGTCTCGTCACGTCTCTTACGGTACTACACCTCCATGTCGTCCTCAGGTCCTCGAAGGTCATGTCACCCTCGACTAGGACACATCCCTTTAAAGTCATGTCACACCCTCAAGTAGGCCACATCCCTTTAAAAGTCATGTCACACCTCGACTAGGCCACATCCCTTTAAGGTCATGTCACACCCACCGACTAGGACACATCCCTTTAAAGTCATGTCACACCCTCAGTAGGCCACATCCCTTTAAGGTCATGTCACACCCTCAGGTTCAGGTTGTGCGTCTTTAAGGTCGTCTGAGGTCACACCATGTCCCTCAGTAAGGTTGTGTCAGAGGTCAACCAGCCATGATGGCCCCCAAGGTCAGGTCACGCCTCCTGAAAGGTCTGGCCACGCCTGAAGGTCTGCGCCCCTCAAGGTTAAGTCACGCCTCTACTACCTTTACCGTCCCCACCTGTACCACCAGTCCTCTCCTGTCACCACCTTACACCACTGTCCTGTCACCAGCATCACCATCAATCTATGTCAGGTCGTTTAGTACACAGTCCGCCGTTTCGTACACAGACCCACCCATATCCTTCGCACACACCTTGAAGATGATTGAAATTTGCATGAGGGTAATGACCCTAAACCTAGCCAACCTAATCCATCAACCTAACATTGCTGGACAGGTGTATTGCTGGACAGGTGTTATAAGGCAGGTGTGTCATATAAAGGTATCTTGGGACCATCAGGGTTCCTGAAGCCGTGCCAGGTAATGACAGGAGTATTTTTCATTCATATTCATTCAGTTTTCTTTCTTTCAGGTAAATTGGGTCTTGTCAGCGTGTCGAGGGTGACCGTGAGTGTGGTGAGGTGCTGAGAGGTGCTGGGAAGTGCTGAGGTGCTGTGTGCTGAGAGCTGCTGAGGTGCTGTGTGCTGAGAGGTGTTGTGCTGAAGGTTCTATGTGCTGAGGTGCTGTACATACTGTAGTTACCTCGACTTTAGTACGTAATCATCTCAGTTACTTCTGTATAGTGTGAGAGTTGTTGTACATAGATGACTGAGCTTTGATGACTAGAGCTTTGTACATTTTACCACTGTTAGTACATGTACTAAGTGTATTCTCCCCAAAAGCCTGAGAATATGTTTGTCTTGTTTGTATTTTGTGGGGGTGAGTGATGAAGGAATACCGTGGCACTATGGGTGAGAGTAGGCTACCTTAGTATTGTGGGCACTCAGCAGGTCGTGGTGGCACTCTCAGCCATGGGTCGTGACGATAGCTGACTCACTGAGATTACTGTGGAATTGTCTAGGCCCACCTCGTTATGTTTATTCTAGTGCCATCACCACCACAGTGCATCACCACCACAGTGCCATCACCACCACAATTCCATCACCACAGTGTCATCACCACCACAGTGCCATCACCACCACAGTGCCATCACCTCCACAGTGCCATCACCACCACAGTGCCATCACCACCACAGTGCCATCACTACCACAGTACAACGGTGTAATGTAACCTGATGGTTCTCCAAACTGGACATAATGTTATGTAATGAGTTTACTCAGGAGAGCCACTCTGCCTCCCAACCAACCAGGCACCGCCGGACCTGGAGGGGAGGAGAGAAAGGTGGTGAGGAGAGAAGGAAGAGAGGACAGGCAAAAGTAAGAGGAAGGACAGTAGAAGTAAGAAGGGGAGGAGGAGGAGTGATGGGAGAAGGAACAGCAGGTGGAGGATGCTGGTAGAGGAAAGAGGAGGTGAGAGTGAGAGAAAAATGTAGAAAGAGAAAGATGATGGGAATTGAGTTAGTGGTGATGTAACTGCGTCGTGTATGAGGCCTGTTAGGGTGAGATTACATAAGACCCATTTGGGTCAGGCGTCAGCCAAATAAATGTTCATCCCAATGCATTAAACAAACTTTGACGTCATCGTGACATCGGCTAGTGGCCAGAGTAAGTGTTTCAACCCAACACAATTAACCAACCTAACCTTAATTCTGGCATATGAAAGGTTCCCTTATTACCAGCTACAGACGTTCTCATCACCAGTTATAAGGAAATAATTGCAACGTAGAGCCTCTGAGAATCCTGTGTTGATGTCGTAGTTAAGTGACAGGGATTTAATGCGTGGGTCTCGAGTCCCAAATATCGTCACCACCACGTCACGCCCATCAACCACGTGACGGTGATGTGACGTTTGGCCCCGTCACCCATTTGACAAGTAATAATAATAATAACAAATACTAATAAACTGGAGATGAAGTAAAATTAATTAGTGTATTAAATATTCGTGCGTGCGTGTGTGTGTGTGTGTGTGTGTGTGTGTGTGTGTGTGTGTGTGTGTGTGTGTGTGTGTGTGTGTGTGTGTGTGTGTGTGTGTGTTTTCACTATGGCGTCTCTTCAATATACTGTACATTTATTAATCCCTTAACCACACAACATTTTAACTCTTGAGGCAGAGAGAGTCTCCATGTAAATCAGGAATAAATGTGGAAGGTGTGGATGAGGGAGGTAGGGAGTGAAGAGGGAGGAGGAGGAGGAAGAAGAGTGATGGAAGTGGGAGGTAAAGGAGGAGGAGGTAGGGGGAGGAGGAGGTAGGAGAGGAGAGAGAGAAGATGTAGGAAGGAGGAGGAGGCAGTTTGAAACTGGTGCGGAGTCTTCAACATTATCTGGTGTGTTGTGCTACAGAATAAACAATAACAAGTGTTGATCAAATGCCTCTCTCTCTCTCTCTCTCTCTCTCTCTCTCTCTCTCTCTCTCTCGTGTGTGGTTGTTGATGT